TTTCCCCAAGGATTTCCTGTGCTCAATTGTGCTGCAGTGTGACCTTTTTTTTATTATTATACTTTTACAATGCTGTTGACCAACCATCACTCATGCCCTGTTCTGGTGCAGGATCACACTTGTCAGGTCCATGACATACACATGAAATAATGCACAAAACACACTCCTGTTATAAAGCTCTATAGACTGTTTATTCATAAAAAGCAATAGTATCAGCTGCATGGAATAACACGACTTTCACATGTTTCCCAAATAACTGTGCTTGACCATTTATACCAAAAAAGCAATATTGTTGAAATGTGGATTGACAGGCATGCGTTGCCCGAGGCTGCATGCCATGCAGGGGGGATGAACAGCTGACCGAATGACGGAGGGGGGGGCGTGTCCGATACGAGAGACTCTCGCAGCTTCTTATAATGGCAGCAGAGTGCCTTATGTTAGTCCCCCCCCCTCTGCTAGAACTACATCTCCCAAGAGCCCTTTCCCACCCATTTGTGTGGGAAGGCTCTTTGGACCCAGGCAGCAGCACTGAGGGGAGAACTCATACAGGGCTCATGCTTGGGATTTCTGTGCAGCACAGACAGCTTTGTCAGCCTGAAATAGGAAAATAGACACATGCTAGATTTATGGCAAGATCAACAAGCGTTTTTCTGTTCTTGCAGTGTTTTTAAAGTAACAAAACATGGGCAACTGTGCACGGATTGCATAAGGCTTTTTTCTATTCTACGTAGACATAATTATTAGAGCTGCAGCTAACGATTATTTTCAAAATCGATTAGTTAGCCGATTATTGAGTTCGATTAATCGGTTAAATGAGGAGGTGCGGCACGTAAACAGGGCCAACTAACCAGAAGCCGATTAATCGATGATTGAAAAAGTTGACAACTTTTTCAATAATCGATTATAATCGATTATGTCGATTAGTTGTTGCAGCCCTAATAATTATTTATTATAGATACTCATATAGCGCCAACAATTTACACAGCACTTTATATAGTGCATATTCATATCAGTGCCCTCAAGAAGCTTACAATCTAAAGTCCCTATCTCACATGCATACATAGAAGGCCAATTTAGACAGGAGCCAATTGACCTTCCAGGAGGATGTCGTTGGAGTGTGGGAGAAACCCACACAAGCACAGGGAGAACATACAAACTCTTTACAGATAGTGACCCTGGCCAGGATTCAAACCAGGACTCACAGTGCTGCAAGGCAGAAGTGGTAACCATTATACCACTGTACGTTTAAGCTAATGCTAATATTATCCATGCCTCTTTACCTATTGGCTTAAAACATAGCTTTTATTTAAATATAATCTTTAAAAATATTATTCCTAAAAATATTTTTAATATAGTTATTTAAATTTTCCCATAACTTCCTAGTGTACCCTCTGTTTTAAGATTATGCTTAAATAAAAGGTAGGTTTTAAGCCAGTAGGGTAAGATGGGTGGATGACTATGCGTATTATCCTCTACAGAAAAGTATTAGATTTATTTCATGCAGATTGGCAAAAATCAATTGTAGTTATTAAGGCTAATATATATTGTTATTGATAATTTGAATTCTGTAAAATGACCCTGTTATGCAAAAGGTATGGGAGCTTCAATTTCTGGACAAATTAATTCCTTTAAGGAGATCTATGAGGTGAATGATTTTCACTCATCCTCATAGTTAGAGCCAACCTGTGACAAAGAAGCTGTCACAGGTCGGCTCTATTGATCGGGAAGTGAGCAGAAACATGCAGCCGAACTGCTCACTTCCCGATCGTCTCCCTGTAGGAGCGGTGACTGTCAGTCACCGCTCCCTGCAGGAATCCCCCTCCCCGCTCCGGTCCTCCAGCACTGAGTGGAGGAACTAACGGGGAGAGGGCGAGCCCAGCTGGCTCTGTCTCTAGCCAGCTGTCACTCACGCAGCTGGGTGGATCTCGACAGTATTGTCAGGATCCATCCATGGCTGCGGCGATCTCTGTATATCGCGGGCAATAGCTTGCTATATACTGAACTTTGGGTCACAGAAGGAGGTTAGTATATGTCCTCCCGTGAGCCTAAAGAGAACTATGGGGGAAAACACTTACCTCATAGTTCTCTTTTAACTCTGCATTTGTTCCAGGTCAGGGTCTCAGAAAGCATTATAGCCAAAGCATTAGCGTGGCAGCCAGGAAACTAACATTCTCAAAAGAGATGTGGGAAAGGGCAGCCCCCATACTATTGCCATGACAGAGTCACTTTAAGGGAAATACTGAAATAGTGTAACCTGCGATGACACATACGGATCACAGAGTGTCACTGTGTGACCTACTTTTCATAACTGTGTAAAGGGCCTGAACTAAAACTTTCTAACCATACCCTTTAGTAGAACTAATCCATTAATCATTTTTAGCATTATAGTTCTGTTATTTTATTGATTTAGTCCATGGAGCCACCATTTTCCACAGTTTTTCATCAAGTAAGGATTGTACCCTATGCTAACGAGTGCAGGTGTTAAATAATATTGCACTGACACTCCAGTAGTTGTTTTTTTTTTACTAAGGAGCTGATTTAGAAATATTCCCTTTTGTAGACATCCAAAATCCATGAGGCTGCTGCTTAGCGCCACCATCTTAGATGTAATGGCAGCTGTCTCAAAGCTTTCACTTTAATGTCACACTATAGTATTTCCCATTGCTCCTCCCCTGGTAACTACATAAAATGTTATGTGTGGAGGAAAGGAGAGGGGCGGAGGAGCTAGGCCAGCACAGAGGGTAATTAGACACATGCAGAAGAAAATATTGTAATGATGTGCAAGGAGGGAGGGGGACCTGTTGCTGGCTAAACTCATGATGCAAGAGACTGCAACTATTGCAAGAAACTGCTTTGTTATAAGGGAGACTGCCATGATCCCCAAACATAATATGTAAACCTAAGGGCTTACAGTACGTGCTCCTAGAGAGACTGTGTCATGCAAGATGGCCACTTTCACTGAGCATGCCATGTGAGAATATTATGTTGTCAGAGACCGCTATGTGAGTGCCTGGAATATGTAGTTTAGGTTTGGGCACCACTTCACCAAAAGAATGTTGGGGAATTGGAGAGAGTGCAGATAAGTGCAATTAAACTGATGAGTTTGGCATGAGGCATTGAGGATCTCAGCTATCAGGAAAGATTAGCTGACCTGAATTTGTCTCACTTGAGAAGAGACAATTGAGGGGGGATATGAGCACTATGAATGAATACATAAATGGTCCATATAGTGAACTTGGTGCAAAGTTATTCACTTTAAGGTCATTGTAAAGGACAAAGGGGCACTCTGCATCTGGAGGAAAAGAAGTTTAGCCTTTGTATATGGAAATTATTCTTCACAGAGCTGTGAAAATGTTAGGGATGCACTGATACTGGTTTTTCGGTATCGAGTACCAATTTTTGTTGTCTGGTACTCACTGATACGGAATACCGATACCGGAAGTCCCATTAAGGAAGTCGGGCGGCGTGTAATGACTCGACGCCGGGCTTCCTGATTAGCCAGGAAGCCGTCTCCAATCTCCCTCGTCACCAGGTGAGATTTTCTCTTCAGGATGGAGCAGAGCAGAGAAGGTTTGTGTAAACAGTGAGGCGGGAGAGCTGCACTCGCAGCCTTCCCATCTCAGCTGTCACAGGAGTTTCCAGCACAGTGCTGTGCTCAAATTCCTCTATTGGAAGTGACAGGTTTAATAAAGAGCTCCTGTCACCTCCAAATGCTATCACATAGGGGCTTGTTAGCTCCTGTGTGATAGCAATAAAGTTAAGTGGAAAAAAATGAAATAAAAATTGATAAAAAATTATAAAATAAAAATTAAGAAAAAAATAAGTAAACATTTTTTTAAATAAAAAGGTGATTAAAAAAAAATACAAAATTATAAAAAAATTAAAAAAAAGTAAAAGATAGTAAGATAAATAAAAATATTGATAAGAAAGTGTAAACATTTTTTAAAAAAACATTAAAACAAACCCTGCCGTCCCCGCCATCTGGTTGCCATTCTCCATTGGGGGTGTGGAGGGGGGGCGGGGGGCACATAGATGAACCTGGCCTTGCGGCAGCAAAGAGAGTAAGTCCGGCCCTGTGAATGTGCACTACTAATCAGCAAGTTTGACTGTTCTAAACTGATACAAAAATATTTTTGAAAGGTTTGGATATAAAATAAAACCAAAATAACTTCCCACTGCATAGCAGACACTCTTCTTCCTGAGGGCTGGAGGGAAAAGAGGAGCAGCAGCTGGTCATGTTCAACTGGGAGAAGAGTAAGAGGAGGACCTGATCATAAACTGGAGGCTGAAGAGAGTAAGGAGGCAGAAAGGGAGCTGATCTTGGTCTGTTAAAGTGACACTAAACTCAGGAGTTAAATCTTAAAAATACATTCAAGTACCTTAACTATTAACAAATAAAGGGGGAATTTATCAAAACTGGAGCAGACAAAATCTGGAGCAGATTTGCACTGCAGCCAATCAGCTTCTCTCATTTTCAAATCTTACCTGAGCAAATTGAAGAGAGATCCTGATTGGTTGCCATGGGCAACTGCTCCAGATTCTGTTTTCACCCGTTTTGAGAAATTCTCGCCAATGTTTCTTTTTTGTGTATCACTCGGCTGTAGATCCTCAAATCATCTCTGAATCGGTACTGACACTGTCCTTCCTTCCTTCTGGTCCCTGTGTGTGTTGTAAAGTAGCCACCGCTCCAAGCTCACCCCTGTGATGGACTACAATCTCACGTTTAGTTTACTTATTTGTATTGAGATATGGAAAGGAATAGGATAGGAATTCTAAAGCAAAAAACAAAGTAAGTAAAAAATATAGTATTTTAAAAAAGTATTAAAAAAGTGCTTTGCAATAAGCAAGTACATATTTGGCTTATTACATGTTTATATAAATCATAAGGCATCTTTCTTCATTCAAGGAAACATATTTTGCTCAGTTTGTAATTCAAGAGCTGAAAACTGCTTCCAGTAAAAATTAAAAATGCCAGACTAGAAATATGGCTATCTGTTCATTTAAACAATGTGGCAGATTTGTGAATTTTTGTTTGCTTGCTCTTTGCATCTCCACCATTTGTTAGTACTTTTTGCTTTCAATTGGATGGTTTTGTTGTAGACATCTTTAGACTTTTTAGATTTGACAGTACATGTGGCTTTGATGTTTTGCAATGGGTTGTACTGAGTGCTGATGGTTTCTGGGCACTGAAACTTCTCTCGGATCACATAGCCCAAACGTGTAGTGGCTATAAATCCATCAGAGGTAGAGACAATTCGGGTGACAGTTGCATATACATATTGTACCGCAAGCAGGGAACCTGTGTAATGGACATGACAATTAGAACGTAATTTGTTAAAGAAACATTAACAGTATATACCAGAAACCCTGCCATACATACTAAGTATGTACATTACAGAAAGTCAATGAAATATCTTGGACATTTGTGGTTTGTTGTAAATATTAGGGATGTACTGATACCAGTTCAGATACCAGTGCCGATACTTGGCATTTTCATGAGAACTACCAGGGTTGCAGAGGTTGCAGCTGGGACCTGGCTCTGGCGCTCCACCATTGTCCTGAAATCATTAGTCTGTATTGTTTTAGAAAAATTGTCACATGACAATAAACAAAAATGCAGTACTTGGACAAGTATTGGTACTTGTACTTGGAAAACTGATCTGTGCATCCCTTTATATATGTTTATAAAAACAAAATCATACAATAAAACAGAGATGTACAAATCCCAGGAGCTCCGTGTGCACCTTAAAAATGACAGCTGCCTCCTAACTTCTGAATTTTTCTCTAGTCTAGTCCTGGAGCTGGAAAAGTATCTGTACATGTACTTGTACCGAGTATGGTACTTGGTATCGGTGCATCCCTAGTAAGTATGTATGCTTTTTCAGTGGAAACAGCTTAATAAACAGCTGAAATTCTACAAACCAAATAATTTGCTATTTGTACAGCAGCCATTTATGAGATTTATATACATCTGTCACACTGCAGAACAAGGCAGCTTTCCATGTTCAGCAGTGCTTATCAGCATGAAGCAATCTTCCTGAATGTGCAGTATAGCACATGTGTGTCAATCACAAAAATACCTAAACAAACTTACAAATCTTTGAAGCTGAAACAATAAACTAAGTATTGCACTGTTTGCTAGGGGATATATACCTTCCAGTGGCGTAACAATCGCCATAGCGACCCAGGCGGCTGCTATGGGGCCCGGGCACAGGGGGGCCCGGCCAGGGCATCCCTCTGATGCCGTGTGGGCCGCCTGGGTCGCTATGACATGTAAGGGTGCTGGCTGTCACTGACACAGCTCAGCAGCGGCATTTCCCCTCACAGCCGCTGCGGAGCTGTGTCAGTGACAGCCAGCAGCTACGGCAGAAGAGGCCAGCGTTCGCAGTGAAGAAGGAGGCCCGCCTAAGAGCAACCCCGCCTTCTCTTACATCACTGGCCAGCGACCTAAGAGCAGGTGTGGCCAGTGATGTAAGAGAAGGCAGGGCCCGTCGATAGAAGAGGAGGTGGGGCCCGGGGACGGAAGAGGAGGCGGGGCCCGGTGACCACGGAGGCGGACAGCGCTGACAGGTAAGAGGTGTGCAGCCCATCTGAGACCCTGCAGAGCCCACTGTAGAGAGTCTATGGTGGGCTCTGCAGGGTCACTCTCAGGTGGGCTGTTTGGTATATCAGGTGGGCTCTGCAAGTGGCAAAACTAGCAATCATGGTGCCCCATACAAAATTTTGCTATGGGGCCCTGTGATTTCTAGTTACGCCCCTGATACCTTCATGTTAAAAAATAGGAATTAGTTGACTTTTTCAACATATGAGAACAGGCAAACATTAGATGTTCATTTAAACAATGCTTCCAGATAAAGGTATAAAGATTTAAAAAATGCCCTTTTTTAAAATTATTTAACAAAAATATCAATAGATGGAATGGTGTACTCTGACAAAGTAAGTACACCCTTGGCCTCAGAAGTTGGAGTTGGTATTGTGCTATTTAGCATTAATGCCTTCGTGTACATGTTTTGCATAAGAGCCTACCAGTCTCTGACATTGAAATTGAGAATTTTAACCACTCCTTCATGCAAAATTCCTTTGCTTGCAAGAGATTTGTGGGTTTCCCTGCATGAACTGCCAGTTTCAAATGCCCCCCACTACACAATGAGATTCAAATCAGGTATTTTACTAGGCCAGGCCAAAATCCTCAATTTTTTCTTTGTAGGTCTGTCTTGGTGAATTTGCTAGTGTACTTTGAATCAATAATGTGTTGAAAGATCCATTTGATGTTCATTTTCGACAGATGGCCTCAATTCTCACCAATCACTTTAATATGATGCAGAATTTATAGTTTAAATGATAAATTCAAGCTGCCCACACCCGGGAGCAGCAAAGCAACCTCAACCCATACAAAATCAACCACCATACTTCACAGTTGGTATGAGGTTCTGCTCCTAAAATGATGTTTTCTGTTTGTGCCAAACATGTCTACAGATAATGTGGTCAAACAACTCTAACTTTAATCCACAGTACATTGTTTAAGAAGGCCTATTTGGTTAATGGCAAAATGTAGTCTGGTCTACTGGGTTTTTTTTTTACAGCAAAGGCTTTTTTTGACACACCTCCCATGCAGGTTAAATTGGTGCAATCTCAGATTGCATGCACTTTGACGCCAACTGTTACAAGAGTTACCTGCGGATCCTGCAATTAAATTTTGCAGTTCTTGGAAACTTATTATAGCATTAAACATTCAGCTCCTTGAATTTGCTGGCATGTCTGAACATTTTGCCACGTAAGGCTTCTTTGTCTTACAATAATTTGGCCAGACTTATAGCTGTCCACACCCTCTTTTATGAGGGTCTATGTAACATATTTTGAAAAAGTTAACAATTTCCATGGGATGTACTTATTTTTTCACATGATTGTGTGTATGTGCACCTTTTATTGAGTTTAAAAGACTTATTAGCAGCGGGGGAAAAAACCACATTCACAAAAAAACTAAAATGCTCCTTTTCAGGTCAATATAGTCCCAGTATCATAAAAAAATAGGCTTACTTCAGCAGAGCAGAGTCCAGAACACATTCGCACCACAGGGCCTAGCCAGCAATGTCGTTTTTTGACTTGTATTTCCAAACGTCAAACAGGTGCAGCATTCAGCAACTCTCCCATCACTCTCTTTCCTTCCTCTCTACCTTCTTTTTCTTTTATCAGCTCACTCATTCATTAATTCTTATGGTGTCTCTTAAAGGGCTCCAGGAAAAAAGATTCTTAACCCCTGCAGTGGGGCTGCCCGCACACTGCATGGGTTAACTGCTCATTTGTGTGTAGGTTAAAAGAAAAAAAATTATATTCACCTTCTAGCCTCTCTCTCCCTCCTCTGCAGTGGTTTAAGGTCCCGTAAATCATCACATTTTATGTATATAGGTGAGGACGCTGACGAACATTCCAGTGATGCAGCATAGGAGTAGAAAGGCTGGAGGGAGTGCTGTGGCAGCTGGCTGGCTCAGAGCTTTGCGCATGTATGACTTTTTATTTTCTAACCTAACCAAAAATGTGCACTTAACCCTTGCAGTAAGGGGGTAAGGGTTAAGACATTTTTCCCTGCAATTCTTCTTTAACCGCCTCCCGGCTGGCCGTTGTAATTAAGCGGCCGGCCAGCCAGGAGCTTCCAGGATGTAACAGGCCGACGAAAGATGGCTTGTCTGCCCCGCCCACTCACACGTTCGGGAAACTGCCCAAATTTCAAAAACAGGCAGCGATGCCTGTTTACATACGAGCAATCTGCCGGCTATAGAGCCGCCGGATTGCTTGTATAAAATGTTGATCTGAAAAAACCCCCCCTCTGCTGGTCCCAAGCTCCTCTGTGCCCGGTGCGAGCCCGGGACCAGCATGGTGGCTCTCTGACAGGGGATCAGAGGGAGGTCGGGAAACGAGCTCCCTCTGGTCCCCTCTCCAGTGTCAAAATGCGGAAGTGATGTATATTTCATCACTTCTGCATTCTTGTGTCACTCTCTGGCTTCAGAAGCTGGAGAGAAGCTGATGAAGCAGATCTCTGCTTCATCAGCTTCTTTGGTGGTCCCTAGGTGACATTAGGGGTCTTGGAGACCCCTGATGTCTCCATAAAGAGGACCTGTCACATCTTTTTGCTATCACATAGGGAGTTCTTAGCCACCTATGTGATAACAATAACGTTAAGTGAAAAAAAAATAGGAAAAAAGTAGTGGCAAAAGAAAAAATGAGTCGCACACAAACATTTTTGAAAGTCCACACCCATACATACACGCGTGCAAACATGCGTCGGGTGCGCCTACGTGCGAAAACGATGCTTGCGCCTATGGTGCCGCACATGTTACATATCACTGCGAATGTCGCAGTCAGTGCAATAATTCTAGGGCCATCAATCACTGATAACACTAAATTGATGAGCGGTAAAAGCTTTTAAAGCGTCGCCTATAGTCAATTTTGGGTATGGTAGTTTTTTTTGCAATTTTGCGGGTGCGCGTAATTTTAAAGGCTTGACATGTTTGGTGTCTATTTACCCGATGTAAAAAGAAAAGGCTAGTTGCACTCCTTACCGGTATGACCCCGTGATCGGGGAGGGGTGCTCGGAATGACTGCGGATGGCGACGCCAAATACAGATAATTGCAGAAACGTCACCAGCACACCAAATCCTTATAGGATCAAAGTTCGTAGATTGCTATGCCTGATGAAGGGACCCTGTGTGGCCCCGAAAGCGCATGTGTAACTGAGATAAGTTTGCAATAAAATCTACGAACTTTGATCCTATAAGGATTTGGTGTGCTGGTGACGTTTCTGCAATTATTTACCCGATGTGACCCCATTTTTTATACTTTACCAAAAAATTGGGTAATAATAACTGTATTACAACATAATGTAAAAAGAAAAAACTTTTTTTTTAAATTCTCAGTAATTTTTCCTAATTATAGTGAAAAATAACAATCCCAGCGGTGACTAAATACCACCAATAGAAAGCTCTATCTGTCCCCAAAAAATGGTATAAAATTAATTTCAGTACAGCGTTGCATGACGGAATAAATGTCAGTCAAAGTACCACAGCGCTGAATACAGAAAAATGGCCTGGCCAGGAAGGGGGTGCAAATACCTGGTCTTCAAGTGGTTAAAGAACCTACCACCTGAAGCACAAAAAAAGGAGATATATACCTGCTGCCCATATTGCATATTGCTTAAATCTTTCAGCAGCCATTTGTTTTGTTTTGAATGGAATGTGGAGTAAATATTTCTTTTGGGGAGGTTTAATTTCTGTCTTTTAATCACTTCCTGTAACTGTGAATTTTTTTTTTTTTAAATAGCAAAAAGGTAATTTAAAGAATGCTATAATGATTTTGGATCAATGTTACTTAAAGCCCAATTGAACCTTAAATACATACCAGGTGGAAAAAACAAAAGGTGTGCAAAGTCTTAAGGTGCCATACACTTTACAACCCTCGCAAGACTTGTGTCTTGCGAGGGTTGTAAAGTAATTTAAAAAAACATACAATCTGCCCATCATGGACAGGCAGATCATACTTGCGATCATTGCAAGCCCGCCCCGCTGAGGGGCGGGCTTCCGATGACTGCAATGCTTAACGGGCAGTGTTCGTGTGCGCGCACTGTCCCGTTCGGCAGTTGTTGAACAAACACGCTACTAACCTGCCGAAAATCGTACGATTCTCGGTGGGTTTTCCAGCCTCCTTGTTCGACGGAAGACGTGCGATCGTACAGTAGAAACGGTTGCATGCCTTCCATACACTGTACGATTCTCGTACGATCGCGGGATTTCCCGCGATAATCATACAGTGTCTGGGCACCATTATAGTCTTAAAGCAACTACTGCCTAACCAGAAAAGCCTGCCCCCTGCCAGCAGCTGCAGAATGAGACACTTGCTTTCTTTAGGGAAGCAGTGGTCTCATTGTAGAGGTCTCACACACCCCTACTAATTTAGACCTATAGCTCTATAAACAGCAAAGTTTATAGTGGCTGTAGTGATCACTGCTTCCCTACAAAAACCAGTCTGCAGCATGTTGGCATGGAACAGCCCTTTCTACTCAGGGTGTGGCTGTTTTCTAAAGAAAACAAACATTAAGACATTTTGTCTGCTCCAGTTTTGATATGAATTCCCCACCTTTTTGTTTTAACGCATCTGGAATGCATTGAGCTAATTTAAAAGAAATTTCAATTGGGCTTTATTTACTTCTTTGTATCAAATTCAGCTTGAGCTACTGAGCTTTGTAAACAGTTTTTTTAATGGGTAAGGTAGGAAGGTAAGGGGAAACCGGCTGGCTGGTTATAAAATATCCACATCCAAATATGTACAAGACCACTGTGCCGCCCCAATAGGGGCATAGAATATGAGATGCATAGCCTCAGTTAATATTAGCATTGTTATATAGGTTAGAATTTATATAGTGTGATTTGCCTAACTATTTTCTCATAGCTAAATTCATGTGTTATCCTATGCTGCCATCTAGTGGCCTTTTGTTGTAATGTACATGTTTTTCTGTGATTCTTTGTGATGTCTACGATGTATTTCCTCTCTGTATGTAGCCCCACCCTTCTTCCTGTGTGCAGTACTTCCTGTGTCATGGCCACAGTTGAAAGCCACATGTAACAAGGACACACATGTAATCTGCACAGTATGTAGGAAAGGCATCATTTTCTGACCGCACAATACTATCACCGTTCAACTGCTGTTCCTATCATCTGCTGTAATCCTGATGTAAAGAATAAACACCTCTTTTGAATGAATCGGTATTGACGAGTTCAGCTATCTGACGAGGATTGTCCGCAGTGAGTATATCTGCTTATACAGGCCAGGCATAGAGGTCTCAGCAAGGGATATATTTCGCTATCACAACGATCTGAGTCAGAATAACCACTATACAGTACATTCCTTTAAAGTATTCTGAGTTTATAACTATATTAAATTCAGAGGTGATTAAAAGTGTATGGAAATGACTAAATTAATACTCACCAGTGGACACATCCCACGCTTTGATGGCTCTGTCCTTAGATCCAGTATAAATATAACAGTCATCTGGTGAGAAGCAGGCACAGTCAACTCCTTGAAAGAAGAAGCCCTGGAGGCAAAATAACAGTGTAGTTTAAAATCGTTTTTTCTGTAATACCTGTTTCTTGTTACTTTCTTGTTTTCCCTCTGTTTGGTTAATATGCATACATATCTATGTGAAGGCAGGAAATACTGTATGTCAGGATAAGAACATTATATGACGTATTCTGTGTGTACAAGCGTCTGACATTCTGATTGTATAGTTGTCAAGAAGATTGTATAGTTTCATAAGAAATAAATACCAACAAGATAACAGTCTAAGCTGACAGAATAATATTAACACCCATAAATATCTGGGAAAACTAGGAAGCTTTTTGAATGTGCCTTTAAAAGCATAAATGTAACCTATAAATAATATGTTTCTATTAGGGCTGGTACTGATTAAAATGTTTGTGTTCGATTAATCAAATTTTTTTTAATCGATTAATTTTGAATAATTATAACGCACATACAGATTCAACTACATTGGCCTATACACATACAGCACAGCAATTAAGTAATAAAATGAACTAGGATCACACTAATCCAGCACGTTATTAATCTCACGTGCCTCACTCAATATGGCCACCGCTTGAGTGGGGCAACTCAGAATAATAACGTGCTGGATTAGTGTGATCCTAGTTAATTTTATTACTTCATTGCTGTGCTGTATGTGTATAGGCCAATGTCTTGGCTGGTGCTCGTGCAGAAAGTTTCTTGGGCAAACTCACCGGCCCAAGTGGTTCCGTCGGCTAGTGAAAGGAAAGGGGGAGGAGTCCGGTGACGTCACTGACATCGACGTCACCGGACTCCTCCCCCTTCCCTTCGTTAGCCGACGGAGCCACTTGGGGAAGGTGGGAGGAGTCCGGTGACGTCGATGTACGTGGCGTCACCGGATCTCCGACGGGACTCCCGGAAGCCGGCAGATAGGTGAGTGTTTTCATTAGCGATCAAAAGAATTTAATCGATCTAAAAGAACGATTAATCGAGAAATGAATCGTTAATTTCCACAGCCCTAGTTTCTATTATTATTATTATACAGGATTTATATAGCGCCAACAGTTTGCGCAGCTATTATAATAAAAATATAATTATTTCAAATTATCAAATATGGAAGGTAGAATTTTGAACAAATACTGCTTTACCTCACATTCCATTCAGGATGCTGGGAAACTCCGATGCTAGGTTCAAGGCTCCTGTTGGCCTATATACAAAACCATCTTTCAAAGATCTGTGTACTTTCAGTCTGCAATACTCCAAGAAAGTCCTGCATAAGGTGCACAAGTCCTCTTGAAAATGTATTATAAATTATACAAACAGCTCCAAAACAAACAGGCAATTATGCTAATGTATTTCCACCATCTAGGGGCCTTTCTGGCAAACAAATGTCAGCATAACTGCCTTGTGTTTATGAAGCTGTTTGTATTATTATAAATAGATTTTTCGAAAGGACTGTCAGCTGCAGGACTTTCTTTGGAGTAGTGCCATCTGAAAGTACACAGATCTAGCTATACCTTCCTTATCTGATTTTAGTATGCTTCCATAGGTTTCCTTGACAGTCCACACACTTTGTTATTTCTATGATTCAAGTGTTGTAGTCTGTCAGGTAAAGTTCTTAGGCTATAGCCCACAAGCTGTTCTGCAGCCTCTAGCTTCCCATCCCTAAAGACAAATTACATAACAGTGGCCATGTCATAGAGAGAGAAGAACAAAGCAATGGATTTCTTTACAAGAACCCCAGAGATAAGAAAAAGTATGGTTCAGTGCTTTAAAACATATCTGAACCCAAAATAAAAACATACAATGTATTGCAGCTTACCAGTCCTAAGCTGCATTCATTTTCTTTTTTTTCCTTTATTTTTTTTTCTGGTGATCCTGCCAGTAACACACTTTCTGTCCTAGTTTAACAACACTTATTTACTATTTTACAGTATTTCTATGCTCTGCTGAATTGCAGAGACAATCCCTCCTCTTCTCATTTCCATTACATAGAGTGGAGTTTTGTAGTTCCAAAAAGATAGCCGAGATTGTTTAAGATTTCAGTTTAGTGCACAGGAATTTACAAGGGAACAATATTTCTAGCTAAATAAACAGGAATATATGTCTGTAATTAGCTGGGAAAAAAACTATAGCATTTACCACAACCAATGAATGGTAAGCTGAAATATATTAAATCTTTGTTCTTAGATATACTTTAACAAAAGCTTGCTCAACTGGTATCCCAGAGCCTCTTCTTTTCAGCGTTCTGGCTGACAGTCTCTCTCTGATGTCAGCAGCCCGGCATTGTACGTGAGAATGGTGAGGGTCTGCCCACAACCTGGTGTGTCAGGGAGAAGAGGAGAGTACCAGCAGTTTTGCAAAGTGAGGAATAAGGTAAGTATTACAACTAGGGATGAGCTCAAGTTTAGACTGCACTCAGTCAGAAACTGAGCTCCTCCGAACCCAGATGGAGCTCCTCTGAACATGGAAAGAAGCTAATTCTGCTGCCACCCAATCAGCGGCGGCCAGTGCATTCCCCGCCCACAGCTAGACATAAGGAAAATGGAAGGGATGCAGTGATGTATTTGACTTTATAGGGCCACATGGCTAATAATGGTCATTGACACTGACCAAATGTGGCCGTAAAAGGTCAATTACATTATTGCATCCCTCCTCTTTGCTTATTTCTAGCTGTGCATGGGGAATTCCCTGGCCACAGCTGATTGGGTGGCAGCAGAAGGAGCTTTCTTTCATGTTCTGAGAAGCTCCTTCTGGTATCCCATTCAGCCTGAACCTGAGCTTATCCATAAATACAACTTATACCTGTACCCCTAAACGTAGGGAGCAGTTAACCCTTGCAGTACGGGGGAGGGGTAAATATAAAAGCATTCTAGTTGTACATGTACTGTATATTAAAGTGGGTAGCAATAGGCATATGGAGAAAGGGTCATTTTTCTTCAAGCTCAAGCTATACATATTTGCATTTGTAAATTTGGCATATATACTGCCTTGGTGAGCATATGGTACCTTGTAACACATCTCATGTTCCCAGCAACCAGTTTCCATGTTCCAAAGACGCTCAACTGAGTCCTCACAGCCACTTAATGCATATATTTCCTTTGTACTTGTTTCTAAGCAGGTGACTCTGCTTGCATGAGAATCTAAACATTGTTCTTCTTTTTTTGGGTTAAAAAGACACATGTCTCCTTTCTCTGTACCATAGATAACCCTCTGGTCTTCAAATATGGCTACTTTGCTCACAGCACTTGGGATTTGTAGATTTATAGAGTGTACTGGGCCATCAAGCATTGGAATAGGGTCCCCCTTTGTAACTTCATATAGCAGAATCATATCGTGGTGAGCTACAGCCAAGAAGCTTTCTTGTTTGCTTATTGACAAGCAAATTACGGCCACATTATGTTCAGGTGGTGGAATACAAGCCACATTTTGCCTTTGGTCTAACGGAAAAGCCAATACAGTGCCAGAGTTCAAACCGCAGAACAAAATCTTCTTGGTTTTGGCAACTTCCAGGCATGTTACTTCAGAAGAGGCCTCAAGGATATCTGTCATAAGACCTGAAAGAGTATACAAATATATGAACTCACTTTGTAGGAAATGGATAACCTTGCAAATGTACTTTTGTTTACACTGCAGAATATTCACTGATCTTACTGTTCCAGAAACTGATTACCAGCAGAAACTGCATAAAGTGAACCTGTTGCCATCCTATGGACAGTCAAGCATTTATGAACACCTAACCGTGTAGCTGTAGGCACTGTGGATTAATCCATGCTCAAATTTTAGAGCAAAATCACTGAATTGCTTCAAGTTATTCTCTCCGCAGCTTTGCTCACCCTGCTTTGCTTCCCAGAAATTATTTGAAAGCCTTATAGCAAGGTGAGCTCAACTACCTGAAGGAAACACTTTAATGACTTCAGTGCTTCTGCTGCATATTTGACAGTAAAGGCCACTCCACAATGCCTGCAACCATAAAGGTCAGCAAAGGCTTGTTTTAAATCTCATTTACTGCTTGTTCACTGAAAGGTTGATAGCAAATATTAATGGCTGATACATCTGCTTTTTTCTGAGAAATCTAAATTGTGGGGAAAGATTATATTTGATATGCCACTGTATAAAAGTTTTTTTCACTGTGAATAAATGTTTGAGATTTAGCTATAGGTGAGTTCCAATTAGTCTGAGTACTAGTGTACTAAGTGTTAATTTGGTTATGTTTTGAGGCATATGCTTACTTGTATTTACTTTCATCTTGTATGAACTTTTTTATAATTACTCTTACTCATAAAATGTAACAATATAGTATTAAGATATGATGATTGAAGTATATTTACCTGCCCTGGATGTTAACAGACTAGTTGGATGCCTTTTGATTCCGGATCTTTAGAATCTTCTACATCTATGTTATACTGGACTTTATTGTGACATTTGGAACCTTGTTGATGGAGTAGACTTTATTGTACCTGTGACTTGATGGTACATCTCAAATATCTTTAAGCGGGTTTCTATCTTCCTGGGTAACCCATGGCATTGATATTGGAGGTGAAGTTTACATATAACTACAATATTGGTCAAGATTTATTCAATCTCAATCTTGTGGTAAACGATTAGGGCAGCATACTATTTGCTGCCTGCAGTCAGGGGTGTCCAGATACCGAGTACCGTACTCCGTACAAGTACATGTACAGATACTTCTCCAGCTCCAAGACTAGACTAGAGAAAAACTCAAAAGTTAGGAGGCAGCTGTCATTTTTAAGGCGCATACGGAGCTCCTGGGATTTGTGCATCCCTGTTTTAATGTATGATTTCTTTTTTTTATAAATATATATTTGGGATGTACCGATACCATTTTTTCAAGTACAAGTACTGTTACATTTTTGTTTATTGTCACGTGACAGTTTTTCTAAAACAATACAGACTAATTATTTCAGGACAGTGGTGGAGTGCCGGGGGTAGGTAGCAGCTGCAACTCCTGCAACTCTGGTAGTTCTCATGAAAATGCCAAGGATCGACACTGGTATCTGAAGTGGTATCTGAACATCTCTACCTGCAGTCTCCCATGGTATATACATACTGTATACTGTTGCATGGTATTTGGTATGTTCCCCCATACTGTCTGAGAAAAGCAGACTGTTCTCTGTTAAAAGAATCACAATACCACCCTTGAACTAGAAATAATTAGCTCTATACTGTATATCTGTATAGTAGAGGGACAAAGGGTATACAGTATGTATGGCTGTATAGTGTGCGTTACTTTGTACTTTGTTTTAGTTTGTTCCATGGGAGTACATATTCTTTTAATGTGATCTTTTATAATACAATGTAAACAATTTTAATACATACAGGTGAAACTCGAATAATTAGAATATAGTGCAAAAGTAATTGCAGTTAGTGCTGCAAAAGGGGCCCAAACCAAGTACTGAGTACATATGCATGCTTGTACTTTTCAGAGGTCCGATATTGTTCTATGTACAATCCTTGTTTTATTGATTGCATGTAATAATCTACTTTTTTGAGGTTGTGGATTTGGGGTTCTTGGGGTTTTCATGAGCTGTAAGGCATAATCATCACAATTATGACAAATCACGGCTTGAATTATCTTGCTTTGCATGTAATGAGTCTATCTCATATATTAGTTTCACCTTTTAAGTTGCATTAGTGAAATAAATGAACTTTGCACGATATTCTAATTATTCGAGTTTCACCTGTATGTAATAAGCTCCCAAATCATATGTGGCTCATCCATGATTTATGTTTCGCTACATGTATATTTAGGGATGTGGTTTCTTAACACATTGCAGGGACAAGTTGCATTAATCATTCTATTTTCAAATATTGCATGAAAATAGCAGCAAAATACGAGAAATTGTATGAACGTAACATCTATATCACATGGGGGCTTTAATTTACCTTGCACTGTGTCCCAGACCACAATCTTGTGTTTGTCACCAGTTTTTGGGAAATAAACACGATCACCTCCACTGGATAAAGCGACACAGCCGCTACGATCCTGAAAAGGAGGCAATGTCTTGTGCTTCTGATCATAATCCAGGTTCCAGAGCTTGAGGTAGTAAGCAGAATTGGATGAAGATATTAAAGTGCTTCCATTCATGGCCAGTCCAGTGACTGATACTCCCATCCCAAAGAATGTGTCTAGAAGAGCTCCCCTCTTAGACAAACTCCAGACCTGCAAAATATAAAAAATGTGACTGTAAAATTTTACAGTATAGCAATAAAACACAAAATATTCACTTAATGATCTGAAGGGTGCAATCTATTATAGAGGATATAATATAGTTTTGTAGACAATAATGTAGTTTCCAATATATCTTACTAACCCGGATAGTTTCATCTTGAGATCCAGTTACAATGATATTCTTCTGACTGTGTATTACAGCTGTTTTTACCATGTCATCATGTTCTAGACATGATCCAAGAAATGTCCTTAGGGTGTTGGAGTCAGCCCGAAATACCTGCACTTGTTTCCCAAACCCTGAATGGAAATAAAGAGATTTTATGTGGAAATCATGGAAAACAGAACTATAAACATTATTTTGTTTGATAACTAAACATTTAAAGGATGGTGCCTGTCCTCTTGAATAAAATGTTCATATACTGTATACATATATTGTAGAGGACAGCAAGGCTGGGTCCCGGAAGGCAGAAATATCTCACCGGTGTTTGGATTATGTTCCATTTAAGGGCCACCAGAGGGTTAACCTTCCTGCCACAGGAAGTAGTTTAAAAAGTCTGCAACTCCATAGAGGAGTGTGGGAGTTAAGGAGAAAGGTGTCAGCTGTGGCTAGTGTGAGAGAGACCTGCTGTTGTGCTGTGCTTCAGGACTTATATTTCTGGGAAGGGATTTCCCCAGGTTTTGGGACTCAGTATGACAAGTCGGTGAGACACATTTATGTTTTGTTATTTGTGCCGAAGGTACGGACTTTTACTTTGAGTTTCTGATGAAGTTAGGCTTATATTTGTGTTTCCCGTTTTGACTGCCCTGAAGAGGAAAATAAAAATGTTTGTTTTGTGAAAAAAACCTCTGTGCGAGTGCTCTGTGAGCTCAATAAACATCACTATATATACAGTATATATTTGATATAACTATATAACCAGTTTAGAGTTAGGACCGCATTATATAGAGGTGCCTTGGCGCAGCTGTGTGGCTTTCACATATTCTGCAGAGGACGTGTATCTAAACCTCTGTTTTTAACCTTAGCGGTGAGACGAGCTTTTTTACATGCTAGCTTGTGAGTGTGCTGGGAAACTTTTTGCTACTGCTGTGTCATATGGCTCCACCCTTCAGAACCTCCCTTCAGTGGTGGAAGAGGTGTGTGCAGAGGGGGGTGGGTGTAGTGGTGGCAGAGGTGTGCGCAGAGAGTGGTGGTAGAAGTGTGGGTGTGGCCGGAGGGGTTCAGTGGCGGTAAAGGCATGTGGAGGTGAGGGAAATGCAGTGGTGGCAGAGCTGTGTGCAGAGGGAGTGGTGACAGAGGTGTGTGCAGCGGGGTAGGAGATACAGTAGTGGCAGAGGTGTGTGCAGGGGGGTGGAGGGGTGCAGTGGTGGCAGAATCATGTG